TGAGAGCGGAGTGTGGCGTTCAGCAAGGTATCTGGAGGGAAAGTGATCATGAGCACAGGGAAACACAGGTTAATCTGAGGTGAACACAGAAAGCACAAAGAATCATACTTGACTCGAGAGTAGGCCTTGACAAGTATTCAAGTGTGGTTAACTGACGATCTGGTAAAAAGTGGTGAGAAGGACCGGGGTTGATATACTGCAGGAGCTTGATTAGTGGAATGAGGATCAGGTGCATAACTGGAGCTTGGCAGCAGGAGTCAGGGTAGCCATGCCCAGACAAACACAAACAGAGAGACAGACAGAACAGACAGGAAACACAGGGAAGGGTGAAACAAATGAAAACACAAGGGATGAGGTGAAGATACTGCAGTACCACAACACCTTCTTGTCTTGCACTGTCCTTCGATTGGCAAAAACAACATATTTCTATCAAATAAAAATTAAATAAATTTATTAGTCATGTTAATATATTAACTTACAAAACAGATCATGTGAGTTCAATGCTGAATGTCTGAATTAAGTAAGCAAACATTTTTCAGATGCAAATGAAAAGCATAACTTGCACATAATTTTGAGTGTTAGGAGAAACTTTGAATGCGGACAGATGCGAAGAACTTGTTGTTTACATCTATTCAAATGTTCTGTTTCTCAGTGTGTTGTGCCACAGGGGGATCATCAGAAGACAAGACAAACACTGGACATAACACAGAGGTGTGTGTGTGTGTATGATGAGTTTGCATAGAACAGCTGCATCTATCACACTGTTTAACACTGTTTCATCCTCTGCAGGGATATATTAGAGAGCACCACTATGACGACATACAGATGCAGAACCAGCAGGCAAGTTTAGGAGAAGCGCTGCCGTCTGTTTATGCCACTGTCAACCTTCCCGCAGACCAGCTTCTCTATGCCAGCGTCAGTTTTCAGAAGGACTCAACAGATGGGAATGCACTTCCTGTCCCTCAGCCTGCGACTGCTCCTCTATCAGTTGGCCTCAGGGTGCCACCCATCCTCCAGCAGCAGAGCAGACTCTTTATTCTACAGTCACATATCCTAAGCAACCATGAGACAGTCTTTCACCTGTTGATGTTCACTGTGCAGTCTGAGGGGAACACGCTGTGAAGGATTTGCTTTTGTCCTATGTACATACTGCCCTTTTACATTACATTACATTTAGTCATTTGGCAGACGCTTTTATCCAAAGCGACTTACATTTGAGGAACAACATACAACCATAAACAGAGCATCAAATACAGATCTATAACTGACAATACATACTAGTAAGAGCAGCAATAAATACTAGTAAGAGCTCATAGTACATATCACATCAATGGGGTAAATACCAAGGGAAGGAAGTAAGAGTTAACAAAAAGTGCAATCAAAACAAAAAAGTGCAATCAATACAAGATAATTGTAGGAGATAGAAGAAGAAGAGCACAGGAAGTGTATGTTAGAGGTTAGGAGTTAGAGTCGTTATAAGAGGAAGTGTTCTCGGAAGAGATGAGTTTTTAAGAGTTTCTTGAAGTTAAAGAGGGACGCCCCTGCTCTGATGGCATGTGGTATCTCGTTCCACCATCGTGGTGTCACAGATGAGAATAGCCGGGACTGAGATTGCTTTGTGTGAAGGGATGGCAGAGCCAGGCGGCGTTCGTTGGAGGAGCTTGGCGGCCTAGAGGTAGATGGGTGCAAGACCCAGTAGTCACTCTGTATGCAAGCATTAGTGACTTCAATTTTGATTCTGGAGGCCACGGGGTGCCAGTGGAGGTTACTGAGTAATGGAGTGACATGCGTCCATTTGGGCTGATCAAAAACCAGATGTGCTGCTGCATTCTGAACCATTTGTAAGGGTTTCACCGCTCAAGCTGGAAGACCTGCTAGGAGGGCATTGCAATAGTCGATGTGAGAGATAACCATGGCCTGTACCAGAAGCTGGGTGGCATACTGAGTGAGGTAGGGCCTGATTTTCCTTATGTTGTATAGAGCAAAGCGGCACGACCGAGAGACAGCAGCAACATGGTCTGAAAAGGACAGCTGGTCATCAATCATGACACCCAAGTTTCTCACCAACTTGGTTGGAGTGATGGTTGAGGAGTCAATTTGTAGTTTAATGTTATGGTGGATAGATTGCTTGGCTGGAATGACCAAGAGTTCAGTCTTAGAGTGGTTTAGTTGCAGGTGGTAAGCCTTCATCCATGCAGATATGTCCGAGACCGAGAGACAGTCCGTGATCCGCGCCAAGACGGTGGGATCGCCTGGCGGGAAGGATAAGTAGAGTTGTGTATTGTCTGCGCAACAGTGATAAGAGAAGCCGTGCGAGCGAATGATCGGCCCCAGTGAGGTGGTGTAAATTGAGAAGAGAAGGGACCCTGGCACTGAGCCTTGGGGCACCCCTGTGGAGAGGCAGTGGGAGGAGGATAATTGTCCTTGCCACAAAACATTGTAGGAATGCCCAGAGAGGTAGGATTCGAACCACAGGAGTGCTTTACTCGAGATGCCCATTGCTGAGAAGGCGGATAGCAGGATCCTGTGGTTGACTGTGTCAAAGGCAGCTGGTCAAGCAGGATAAGATTGGGCTGCAGCTTTAGCTGACCTTAGGGCTTCTGTTACAGACAGAAGAGCCATTTCAGTAGAGTGGGCATTCTTAAAACCAGACTGATATGGATCTAGGAGGTCATTCCCTGAGAGGAATTCTGAGACCTGTTTGAATACCGCCCGTTCAATAGTTTTGGATAAAAATGGTAGAAGAGACACTGGTCGATAGTTCTCAACATGAGTTGGGTCAAGTGAGGGCTTTTTGAGCAAGGGTGTGAGCCCTTTTGAAAGTGGTCGGGAAGGTTCCTGAAGCCAGAGAAGTATTTATCACATGATTGTCGGGACCACGGTAGGAGATATGGCTTGGAGGAGATTCGTAGGAATCGGGTCCAGTGGCCATGTAGTTGGACTGTTACGGGTGAAGAGGATTCTGATACCGCGCTCTCTGTGAGAAGAGTAAATGAGGAGAGTGAAGAACCACTGACCTGGGAGGGCAGAGGAAAAGATGTAGTAGGACTGCTACAATGGCTGAGTTTGAGTGTTTCAGATAATTGGCTAGTTATAGCCGCCACTTTGCCTGTGAAGAAGGCAGCAAAGGTATTAGCAGACAAGTTTGGTGGTGGAGGTGGAGGAGGATTTAGTAGAGCTTTAAAAGTGGAAAATAATTTCCTTGAGTCAGTGGCACTGCTTATTCTGTCATTATAGAACGCAGTTTTGGCAGCACTGATGCTTGTTGAGAAGGAGGATAGGAACAATTGGTAGCCCTTAAGGTCGGCGGGGTCTTTGGTTTTTCGCCATTTTCTTTCAGCAGCTCTGAGATCAGTACGGAGCCCACAGATGGTATCAGTTAGCCACGGGTGGGACTGGTTTGGGCGAGCAGGCTCTGACGCAAAATGAGCGGGAGACAGGTTGTGGAGGTTGCGGCGGTGTGAGACCAACGGTGTTGGAACAATGGGCTTTTCCTGTAGGCACACCGTGAACTGAATGAAATAGTGGTCTGACACATGTAGAGGTGTGACTGTTAGGCACTCTGTAGCACAGTTTCGGACAAGAACGAGGTCAAGTACCTTGCCAGCTTTGTGGGTCGGGGGGCTGAGAACCCGTGTTAGATCAAAGGACTCAATCAGAGACAGGAAGTCTGCTGAGTTTGAATTGTCTAAGTGAATGTTCATGTCACCGAGGACAAGTAGGGGACAGTCATGCTCTGGTATTGAAAACAGCAGTGTGTCGAGCTCCTCCACAAAGTTACCCATTTGTCCTGGTGGAAGGTATATGACAATCACAGAGACCTTTACCGGAGCAGACACAAAGACAGCATGGTATTCGAAGGAGGCATATTGATTCTAGGGTAGTAGCTGTGTGAATTTCCATCTGTTGGAAATTAAGAACCCAGTGCCAGTACAAAGAATGTAAACTCAGCAAAAGGACACTGTATTTTAAAGTCAATTCCATAAAATTCCAAATAACTTGCCAGATCTTTATTGTAAAGTGTGTAAATAATATCTTCTATGCTTGCTCAATGAATCATAAACAATTAATGAACATGCACCTGTGGAATGGTAGTTGAGACACTAACAGTATACAGATGGTAGGCAATTACCAGGTCACAGTTATAAAAACTTAGAACACAAAAGAGACCTTTCTACTCACTCTAAAAAACACCAAAAGAAAGATGCGCATGCAAGGGTCCCTGCTCATCTGCGTGAATGTGCCTTAGGCATGCTGAAAGGAGGTATGAAGGCTGATGATGTTGCCCTGGCAGTCTTCAGTGCAATGTCTGTACTGTGAGATTGTAAAAGAAAGCACTACAAGGAAACAGGAAAGACAGCTGAGCGTCCTCGCAGTTTCCATTTCTGTTATCCACATGTCTGTGAGACTTTGTTCACTTTATGTCTTAGTTATTTATTCGTTTTATGTTCATACAAATATGAAAACATGTTAAGTTAGCTGAAAATAAAAGCAGTCGTAAGTGAGAGGAGGTTTCTATATTTGCTAAGTATGTGTTGCCACCACCTACTTCAATAAAGTGAGATTCTGCATAGATACTGATTATTATCTAAGATGGTGACAAAGTTTCTTCCTTTATTTCCTGTTTTATCTGTTTGTCTTACTGATCTTGTGTAATCTTGTGCAACTCTTTTATGTCATAACCTGACATTTAGTCTACTAACTACTAGTACAAAGTCTAATTTTAAAAAGTCCAGAGGGACATTATGGACATTGTTCTGTAAAGTAAAACTATATTTTGATGTACATATAAACAGATGAAAAGACTGTGAGATGTAGCAGGTGAAGAATTTCTCTGAATGGCTCAACACTCTCCATTTCTCTCTATCTCTTTCTTCTACCTTTGTCTCTCAGTTTTACTCTTTGTTGCATAAAATAAGCAACATCCTCTTTCTGAAATGCAAATGTTTAAAGTTATGTGCTGGAAGGAGAAGCTGAAACTATTTTTTTAGTAGCGACACTGCTGTCATGACGAACAACAGTACAGAAATGTTGCTCAATGTTTGTGAAAGTAGGGTTTAAACTATAGTAAGCTGGAAAAACTGAGACAATGATGATATCATGGAAAGTCATCATCTACTTTATGACAGGTAATAAATTCTTTGATGAGAGTAAAACACATCTTGGCAAAAACTAGTTGATGGTGGCAATATGATGAAATAACTTTTTTAAAGGATTTTTTCCCCCTGCATTTTGTTGTGACAGCTGGTGTGAGTATGCTGTGTGTGTCAGGAAACAAAAGAGGACCTGTCAACATTGCCTGTAAGTACAAGTAGGATGAAAAACATCATGCACAATATTTTGCACAGAGACATGGTAGTTTGTTGGACATCAAAATAAAATAATGGCTAGAAAATCAAATACATGGAAGCACAACAACAATGAAAGAACATTTACTCAAGTACAGTACTTACTGATTTTTTAATTTTCTACTTTGAACTACTCGACAACCAGTGCACTTTTTACTCCACAACATTTATCTGACAGTTATAGTTAGTAGTTGCCTCGTATTTAATGAATTTACATACAAATCATGTGATCAGCTTATACAATATGATGGGTTATAGATTATACTAACCAGCTGTAATGATGGTTTAGTGGTTAAAATTGCTCCATCTTAACAAACTTCACCAGTGTCACAATACTTATTAATGGGTAATAATGTTTCATTAAAGGCCCTGAAAATGTATTTACTTAATGGGCTTCTTGTTGTGAGAGATGGAGTGCGATCCTTTACATGCACACCACACATCTTGAAAACAGTTTTCAGATTTCTGTTTGAGTTTTTCTCTCTTGTCCTCTTGCTGGTTTGAAGTGGGCTGGGCTCCAGTTTAAAAACTTAAAGGGAAAAAATTTATCAGGTTTAACAACATTTGAACCAGAATCTGGCCAAACACACACAGTCCCAATGAAGCAGAGTAAGTAAAGTTTTGAGTGTTAAATTCTTAATAAATAATAACATTTTTTTTATTATATAACAATCTGGAATATATTATATAACAATTACTTTTCCTTTTGATGCAATATTTGTTTTGATATATTTCACTTGTAACACTTAAGTAAAAAATCTAAATAATTAATCCGCCACTGAAAAAGACAGATTCTGTGCGCATGATAGTCCATAAAACAACGATGTGTGGCGTGGACAAGTTCGGGGTGGAGACAAAGATTTATTTAGACATGCTATGCTGCTTTGTGAAGTGCAAAGCCTTCTCTTTCAGACGTTGCGTTACAACCCCTTCTGTAGGTGACAACACACCAGTGAGTCAGACGGCACATTTGGGAGGCTCTGTTACCATCAACTGCAGGTATTCAAGAGCAGAAGAAAGCTACGTCAGATGCCTCTGCAGAGAAGATGAAAACTTCCATTGCAAATCTCTGATATCAGCTTACACTTCAGATTGCACAAAAAAAGACAGGTTTTCTCTGATAGACAACAAACAGCAAGGAGTGTACACTGTAACTATTTCCACACTGACCCTAGCTGATGCTGGAAGATACCAGTGTGCTATGGAAAGATTTAACAACAGTTCCACTGCGTGTTTAACTCGGATCGACCTGCAAATTTTGAGTGAGTATTGATCTGCTTTTAATCATCCTGATTCAAAACTAACCAACATAACACAAGCCTATACAGTCCCCTCCAAAAGTATTGGAGCGGTATGGCAAATTCCTTTGTTTTTGTTGTTCACTGAAACATTTGGGTTTAAGATCAAAAGATGAGTATGAGACAAGAGTTCAGAATTTCAGCTTTTATTTCCTGGTATTCACATCTAGATGTGTTAAACAACTTAGGACATATCACCGTTAGACCACAGCATTCTTAGGTGAGCAAAAGTAATGGAACAAATTATCTAAATAACATTTAATATTTGGCGACCCATCAACATCACCAAACGGTTGTTGTTGGGTGTTTCTCCCTTCAGTCTCCTCTTAAGGAGGTGAAATTCATGCTCTATTGGGTTAAGGTCAGGTGATTGACTTGGCCAGTCTAAAACTTTCCTCTTTTTCCCCTGATGAAGTCCTTTGTTTTGTTGGCAGTGTGCTTTGTCATTGTCCTGCTGCATGATAAACGTCCTTCCAATTAGTTTCAATGCATTTCTCCGTAAATTGGCAGACAAACTTTTTCTGTACACTTCTGAATTTATTCTGCTGCTACCATCATCAGTTACATCATCAATAAATATTTATGAGCCTTTTCCAGAAGCAGCCATGCACGCCCTAGCCATGACATTACCTCCACCATACTTCACAGATAAGCTTGTATGCTTCGGATCATAAGCAGTTCCTTTCTCTCTTCACACTTTGGCCTTTCCATCACTTTGGTAGAGATTAATCTTGGTCTCATCAGTCCATAAGATTGTGTTCCAGAACCTTTGCGGCTCATCTCTGTACTTCTTTGCAAATTTCAATCTGGCCTTCCGATTCTTACTGCTGATGAGTGGTTTGCATCTTGTGGTGTGGCCTCTAAAATTTCTTCTCTCTGAGTCTTCTTCGAACATTGGATTGTGATACCTTCACCCCTGCACTGTGGAGGTCATTGGTGATGTCACTTACTGATATTTGGGGGGTTTCTTCACAGCTCTCATGATATTTCTGTCATCAACTACTGTTGTTTCCTTGGCCGACCTGTTCGACGTCTGTTGCTCAGTATACCAGTAGTTTCTTTCTTCTTCAGGACATTCCAAATTGTTGTGCCTGCTACGCCCAATGTTTGTCCAATGGCTCTGGATGATTTTCCTTCTTTTCTCAGCTTGACAATGGCTTGCTTTTCTCCCATAGTGAGCTCTCTAGTCTTCATGTTGGTTTATCCTCTTTAACAGGAAATGCAGTCTTTATAGGTTTTAACCTATTTTTAGGATGAAAACTTAGACTAGACATGCAGAGCTATTTAATGTTTGGGCAATCAACCTAAACGGCAACACCTGGGCAACAAGAAACATCTGTCAGTCACATGTTCCAATAGTTTTGCTCACTTGAAAAATGGGTGGGTTCAAACAAAGGGTGGTATGTCCTGAGTTGTTTAACACATCTAGATGTGAATACCATGAAATGTCTTCAGTGAACAACAAAAACAAAGCAATTTGCCTTACCGTTCCAATACTTTTGGAGGGGACTCTATATACTAAAAACCCATTTCAACGGAACATTTTATTTAGTTTGTAGTAAAGTGTCAGCATTGATCTCTGTTTTTCAGATTGGGATGACATTAAACCAACAACAACAAAAACTTCTGACAGCGGGGACACTGTAAGAATCAGTTGTTCATATCCAGACATCCATGAGAACAATCAGAAATTCCTGTGCAAGGGGGAGAATCCTTTCAACTGTGAGGAGCTAATACATACAACAGTAAATGACAGAGATGTGGTTAAAGGCAGGTTTGATATAAGGGATAACAGGAGAATGAAGTACTTCTATTTGTCCATCAAAAATGTGAGCACAGCCGACTCTGGAACGTACTGGTGTGGCTCTGACAGGACATGGCAGCAGGATAAATACATCAAAGTCCTCCTCTCTGTAGGTAAGTATACTGAGCACTTTATTGTTATAAATTAACACAAGTATTACTTATTCACTCTATACCTTTGTATTAAATACAGTATTTTATTATTACTTATTTAAGTATTTAATCAATTATTTGCAGCTGTTAATGAATATATGTATAGTAACTTAGTAAAAGTAAAAAGGTGTGTTTGTATTTTGTGTGTCTCAGCTGCATAACTGAGCGTAACAATAAAAACTGAGAGAGGGATTCAGAAAGAGCATGGCTGAAATTAGAAAAGCAATGAAACTAAATAATTATTTCCAGTAGTGGAATGTACTTGTACTTATGTACATAAGTAACATTTTGAGATGACTGTACTTCAGTAATTCCTGTTTACTGCTACTTTATAGTTCTACTGCACAACTAGAGATAGTAGATATTTTTCAAATTAAGGTTTGAATGCAGGGCGTTTTACCCACACTGCTGAAGGACACTTCATATCTGGAAAATCTGGCTTTCCAGACCCAGAGGCAGAACCAGAATCAGCTCCTGGATCTAAATCATCTACGAGATATGAATCCCCTAATCCTCCGAATATAGGTGACCTCATCACTTTGATTACTGCTAACTGACAACACACGGCTGCTTTTCAACATAAATATACTAACACTTCTCTTAGACACAACTTCTCCTTTATGCATGAATTCTGAAGACAATAAACAGTGAACAACATGTATCCTTCATCAGTTTCAACTGTTGCCTCTTGTTTGCAGGTATGATTGCCGGAGTAGTAGTGTTTTCGGTATTGTTTCTGATACTTGTAATTGTACTTATACTGTACCGACACAAACTCCCCAGGACAAAAGGTGAGGGATGGAAATACGGCAAATTCAACATGTTGAACTTGAACTGTCCTTTGATTGGCAAAAACATCATATGTCTATTATCAGTAAACTTACTTAATTTAGATATAGAAATTAAAGGCTTAACTTCCACATGTTTTGCCTGAGGAGTAAATTTGAATGCAGACAGATTATCTTGTTGTTTACAGATATTCAAATGTTCTGTTTCTCAGAGTATTCTGCTGCACGGGGTTCATCAGAGGACAACACTGGACACAGCAATGAGGTGTGTGTGTGTGTGTGTGTATGTGTTTTTGGGTTTGCTTACAACAGCTGCATCTATCACACTGTTTCATCCTCTGCAGGGAGATATTAGAGAGCACCACTATGACGACATACAGATGCAGAACCAGCAAGCAGGTTTAGGAGAAGCACTGCCGTCCGTTTATGCCACTGTCAACCTTCCCGTAGACCAGCTCCACTATGCCAGCGTCCGTTTCCAGAAGGACACAACAGATGGGAATACACTTCCTGTCACCTCAGTTTGCGACTCCTCCTCTATCAGTTGGCCACAGGGTGCCACCCATCCTCCAGCAGAAGAGCAGATTCTCTATTCTACACTTACATATCCTGAGGAACCATGAGACAGTCTTTCACCTATTGATGTTCGCTGTGCAGTTTGAGGGGAAAATGCTGTGAAGGATTTGCTTTTGTCTTATGTACATACTGCCCTTTTACACAGAATATGGAAAAGTGATTCGGCAACATTTATGACTGTTGGACCCAACATTTGACATTTTGGCACTAGAGTTATTAGAGTATAATGTGTCATATGTATCTGAATATGATAATTACATTTTTGAGAATACATCTGTCTCTGGCTTAGGTCTGTCATTCTTAGTAAAACTTGCTACAAATCAGTTTGGTTGATGATTCTCTAACAGATCATTATTTGTTATATAAGCTTTGATTCATTGATATATCTGGCACTATCCAGATCCAGTATCCAGAGAGGTTAAATAACACTGTTAGATTAAATAATGTGATAGGCCTACCTCTCCTGCCACCTGCTCCACATGAGCAAATTTGTCTATTTTATCCTGCACAGGCAATCAAACACATTTTTAGAAAATAATTTCTGTGATTCAAAGACTACACTGTGGCTGCTACTATTTTGAGCCTTCCCTGAATACAGGATATTTGTTTTGAAAACAGTGGTATATGTATTTGGCTCCAGCTTCCTCCCACCGTCCAAAGACATGCAGTCTAGGTTAACTGGCGACCCTAAATTGTTCTTAGGTGTGAGTGTGAGCGTGAGTGGTTGTTCATCTATGTGTGGCCCTGCGATGGACTGGCGACCTGTCCAGGGTGTACCCCGCCTTGCGCCCGATGTCAGCTGGGATTGGCTCCAGCCCCCCCGCGACCCTGTATACAGGATAAGCGGTCACTGTTTTGCGCCTTCCCTGAATACAGGATATTTGTTTTGAAAACAGTGGTATATGTATTTGGCTCTGGCTTCCTCCCACCGTCCAAAGACATGCGGACTAGGTTAATTGGTGTCCTTTGGTGTTCGTGTGCATGGTTGTCTGTCTATGTGTGGCCCTGCGATGGACTGGCGACCTGTCCAGGGTGTACCCTGCCTTTCGCCCGGTGTCAGCTGGGATTGGCTCTAGCCCCCCGCGACCCACGCAGGATAAGCGGTTGATGATGGATGGATGGATGGTATATGTATTTGTACAGGAGAGATTACGCTATTTTGTCCTTGCCATGTTTTGCTCTGCAGCGCCCTCTTCTGGTTGAACTAGTGATCAGCTGGAGATTGGTGACTGTTGTGACTGCGCTCCAGCAACAGCTCCCAGAAATACAGTGTCCAGTACCCATTATAACTTTTACCTGATACAGAAAAAATCGATTTGCCCTTTATATTAACATCTCATAGGTGTTTTTGTCACAAGTGGATAAAAAGTTTAATTATTTTCAGTGGACAGTGGACGTGGTGGTGTGCACAGGAAAAACTACGCTGTGATGAATTTGCTTTAATTTATCGCCCCCCAAAATGCACTCTTTCTATGAGGTCCCTCACCAGCAACAAGATAGTTTTAACCACTTTTATCCCATTGACTTGTCCCAGCTTTTAAAAACAGTATCACAGATAGGAGTGTCTTCCAGCCCACTTGATGTTATACCAACAAAGTTTTTATTGAAAGTAATGGATTCTGTCAGCCCCACTTGATTTCTGTTTTTAACAGCTCCCTATCTACTGGTTGTGTCCCTGATTATTTTAAAATTGCTTGCATAAACCCACTTTAAAAAAAAAGTGGATTAGATTCCTCCCTCCCTCAAAATCTTAAACCAATTTCCAAACGACCTTTTATAGCAAAGATTTTAGAAAAAAAGTGTCAAAACAACTGCTCTCTGTACTGGAAAATGACAACATATTTGAAAAGGTTTAATCTGGTACTAAAGCAGACTTAGACTGCATGGGGATCTCTGGTACAGCTTTGGAAAGGTTTTCATCCTACCTGTCCAGTAGGAGGTTCTGTGTCTCTGTGAATAACTATGTCTCTTCATTTTGTTCAGTTAAATATGGAGTGCCTCAGGGATCGGTCTTAGGACCCATTTTATTTTCCTTGTATTCGCTTCCCCTTGGACACATTATCCAGGAACATGGTGTCTCTTTTCATATTTACACTGATGACACACAGATCTACATGCCTGTCTTGCATACTGAGTTTACTTACAGACTGCCTCTGTGAAGTCAAAAATTGGATGTCAAATAATTTCAGACAAAACAGAGATCTTGGACATTGGGTCCTAGCAAATGGCAAAGTAAATACTGCCATCTGCTGGTTCCCTATGGAGGACTGATCCTGACAAATTCAGAAATAAATACAGAAATAAATAAATGCTCAATAAATAAATAAGCATATGATTAAATGCACAAAAAAGTAAATAAATAAATGTAAGCAGTAATTAAATTATACAAGGAGGCATAAATGTATATATCTACTTTAATTAGCTTCTTTATTATTCACCTTTGTAATAATTACCTTATTTATTTATTGTCCATTATAATCTTCAACTTTATTTATTACTTATTTTTTAAATTAAATTATTTATGTGTGTTTTAATATTTTTGTCTGTTTTATTCTTCCGTTGCATCTTCTACCCTATTTATTACCCCATTTATTTGCCTGTCTTTTTACATTTCTTATGCATCTGCCTCATTATGCCTGTGTCTCAAGGTGTGAACTTCTCTCCTATTGGTGGACCAGTCAGTCGTGAGAGCTCTAGGCCTACTCTGCCTGCACACATTAGTGATGGCAAGTTCGGGTCTTTTGACAGACTCGTTCATTCAAATCTCGTTCATTAAAATTAACTAATATTTTTTTTGAGTCATTTCGTTCATTTGAACTAGGCTGGTTATTGTGGCGCTGCAGCCCTCTTGTGGGCGATTAAAAAAACAGCGCCGTTCTCAAACACTGAAGGCTGCCTGGCTTGCTTTATTTGACAAAGTATAATGCACAAATTCACCTCTTGATTACTGTATGTCATCATTATATAACCCCCCCGGGCCCACAACCAAATTCAAACCATAAAAACCACAGAGATATGTTGTCTATATGCAATACACTACTCCGCCTAAATCCTTCCATTTTCACAATCTTTCCTAGTAGTATACAACCAGACCAGCCATATAAAGGCTTATGTATATAATAATATCATTATCTCTAAAGTGCTCATTCATACAGTAGCCTAACGTCCCTATCCATGAGTAAAATATTAGTATCAGATTTGCAGTATATATATTGAAGTAATAAGCTTGATACACTATATGAAGAAACACACTTATTAAAATTCAACCAATTTAATAATAATTTGGATCAAGCCACCAAGTTCTTAAAGAACTCCAGCACACAGAGAGGAACAAAGAAATATTAACACATTATATAAATGCAGCAGTTTGGCAGTTCTGGACGCAGAATGGGCCACATCAGGTCCTGATTCTGCAGACAGAGAAACAAACATGAGCACATCGCTCTCAAACACTGCAGGTTGTTCACCAGTCACGAGCTGTGAAACATCAGGGCTCTGTTGATAAATAATAAGTAAAAGTTACGTTGCGTTCTCTGGCAGACCTGGATCAGCTGTTACCTGTTTACAGGGCTAACGTTGCTACGTGGCTGTGTTTTAATGTTTCAATGACCGGGTCTGTTTGTTTTGGAGAGGAGACGACCTCGGAGGTAATTCGGCTCCATGTAGAACCCTGTCAGAGCTCTGAAGTGGAACCAGAACAACTCTCATCAGCTTTTAGCTGTAAACACTAGCAGGACTAAAGTTACGGTGCGGCTGTGTTAAAACTATAACTTAGCACAACATCACTGCGCTGTAATAACGTTATGCTTTATAAAATGTCACATAATTAACAAAATAGTTATATAATGTCAGTCCAGTGACTGTTACCTGACAGCCGACCTGCCTCTCATTCTCTGGCGCTGGCAGTCACTCAGCCTGCGAGTGAACAAAAGACTGAGGAGGACCCATGTGAGCGGTGATCGAGTCGTTCATTCCTGCTCCACAGTAGGAGCTGTCACGTGACAAATGAAACCTCAAACCTAGAGACCCACAGTTGCTATAAGTCGTAAACTAATCAATTCTGTTTCCTGTGCTGACGGAGCCCATGCAGCTGCCGTGTGACGAGTGAGCGTAAGAGTCCAAGATCCTTCACGCATGCGTGAAAATGACCGAACCACTCACTGATTGGGTCTTATGAACGAAACGTTCTTTGAAGGACACAACACCAGCAGACAGACAGTACTTTCAGTTTGCTACATACATGGACACAGAACTGCGGTATAGGGAGAACCACACGGTCAGCTGGCTGCAGCTAAATCTGGAGTGCACTCGTATTCAATTCTGTATGGTAAATTCAGTTTTAAGGTGGCAGAGCGAGCTGACAGGCAGAGTTAGAGACTGTTTCTGTCTCAGTAGTACGCTACTGTATATTTATACAGTATGATATGCAGTATGAAAATAAGATTAATTGGATTATATTCACAGGAAGTATAAAACCTGTTACATGTGTCTATTAAAAGTAAAATAACACAAAAATGTCAGGGAAATTACTTAGATTTAAATACTGCAGTTGTACATTGAAGTATCTTCCTACCTTGAGATGGTATAAAACATTTCTCCTTAAATTCTGATTTGAGTTGTGTACAACTATGACCCCATGAATTTAAAAATTATTAATTAATATAGTATTTGTTCTGAGTTCATCCTGCATTGCAGCAGCTAATAAAGCCCATTTAATCCCAAAAATTGTTTCTTTTAGGCAGGCTGGAGCAGAAAACAACTCACCTTTCTCAAGTTGTACAGTAATGTCACATATGTGTATGAAGGTGGATCCAAACAAGCTAATCTTAAATGTCAAAGTAGAGATGAGCCTAGGAGGCCTATTTATTTTCATTCATTACACAAGATGAATAAACTATACAGACAGTTGTAAAAAATCTTGAATGTTCCCCACTTGTTATAGTTACGCAGAAATATTAGGGATGTGGGCTGTTTTGAAAGTATCCACTTTCTCCCATGCTCTAACACACAGTAACGATGAGATGTGTGCTGTTCTCCCATTCTTCCTCTGTAACTACACATAAACAACAAGGCATGTAAGGGGAATATAAAAGGAATTTATTTTATTATTTGGGGATTATTTTCCTCTCCTCCATCTTCTTCTTTTCCTCTGAGGATTATGGTTATGTTCTCCGCATGTCTCCTCCTGTGTTTTCTGTGCAAGACATAGAAGTACATCCAACGAAGGTTAAAATCAAGGGCAACTGGACTTGGTTGAAGATACTGGAAGACGTTTCGTCCCTCATCCAAAGGACTTCTTCAGTTCTGACTGACTGGCAGGGAAACTCAGCTATTTAACCTCATCGATACCGCTGGTTCGTTAGTGTTCCTTGTTGCTGTGACGACAGTCGTTACAGTCGTTAAGACTACCTGTGACCAAGACTGAACGACCATCGTTGGTATCTTCACCTGAGGCCAATAGGTTACGTTTGTTGAGTTTCCTGGGAAGTGATGAAAGGACAGCATTGTAAGTGGGGGATAGGTGGTGGCGTAGACCCCCTCCTCTGTTCAATGATGGCTTCTCGACCCTGGTGTAGATAGCTTCCTTGACACCTCTTTCAAACCATCCATCTTCTCTGTCTAAAATGTGCACCTGGTGGTCCTCAAACGAGAGTCCTCTGTCCTTCAGATGTAAGTAGACTGCTGAGTCTTGACCTGAGGAGTTGGCCCTTCTGTGTTGAGCCATGCGTTTGTGTAGTGGTTGTTTAGTCTCCCCAATATACAGGTCTGTGCATTCCTCACTGCATTGGACCGCATACACTAGATTGCTTTTCTTGTGTTTGGGTGTGCGGTCTTTGGGGTGTACCAGCATCTGTCTTAGTGTGTTCTTGGGTTTAAAAAACACAGGGATGTTATGTTTGTTGAAAATCCTCCTGAGTTTCTCTGATACTCCAGACACGTATGGAATCACAATGTTGTTGCGTTTGACCTTCTTTTGAGAAGAAGCTAATTAAAATAGATATATACATTTATGTCTCCTTGTATAATTTAATTACTGCTTACATTTATTTATTTACTTTATTTTTTTTTTGCATTTAATCAGATGCTTATTTATTTATTGAGCATTAATTTATTTCTGTATTTATTTCTGAATTTTTCAGGATCAGTCCTCCATAGTTCCCTAGTGGAACACATTAAACCTATACAGCTCCTCTCCTGTGGAACCAGGTTCCAGTTTGGGTTCAGGAGGCAGACATCATCTCCACATTTAAGACTTTCCTCTTTGATAAAGATTATAGTTAGGGCTGGCTCAGGTGAGTCCTGAACCATCGCTTAGTTATGCTGCTATAGGCCTAGACTGCCGGGGGATTTCCTATGATGCACTGAGCTCCTCTCTCCTCTACTTTCTCTCCCTCTGAACGCAACCTCATCCCATTATTGCATGTTACTAACACAACTTCTCCCCTTTCTGGTAGTCTTGTGCTTTCTCGTCCCTCTCCTCTCTCCTATCACTTCCTGCAGGTTTTCTGGCTACTATTGTTGCAAGTCTTCTTGTTATTATAATCATTAACATTACGACTGTTACCATTAACACTACTATAAATATCTGTACCATTTTTCATTTAGTCTATAGCAACATCACCTTTACCATCTGTACCTCTGTGTGTATATTGTGTAGGCTGCCTTCCTCCCCTCTCTCTCTCCTTCCATCCCTCTCTTTTTCTCTCTGTTCCTCTCCTGCCCTCCCTCTCTCTCCTTCACCACAACCGGTCGAGGCAGATGGCCGCCCACCCTGAGCCATGGTTCTGCTCGAGGTTTCTGCCTCTTAAAAGGAAGTTTTTCCTTTGCCTAGTGCTTGCTCTTGGTGGGAACTGTTGGGCTTCTGTAAATAGCATCATAGAGTACGGTCTAGACCTGCTCTTTTATGAAAAGCGCTGTGAGATAACTGTTGTTGTGATTTGGCGCTATTTAAATAAAATTGAATTGAATTGAAACCTGCTGCAAAGAGTATTGGTGTCTGGTTCAATAGTAGTTTAAGTTTTGAGCAGCACACCACAAAGCTTGTACAATCATGTTTTTTACCCATTTAGAAATATTTCAAAATAATGATCAATGATAACTTTTAAGGACACTGAGACCATTTTACACGCCTTCATCTCATCACGCCTGTATTACTGCAACAGCCTTTTTACTTGCTTAATCCAAAGCCAATTGATCGACTCCAGACTGACCTCAACTCAGTTGCCAGGCTTTTAACCAGAACAAAGAAATACGATCGCATAATCCCTGTTTTAGCTTCATTACACTGACCCCCAGTATGTTTTAAAATTGACTTTTAGAATTTAATAGTCACGTTTAGTAATCAATAAAATAGATTTTTTTTTTTATTAGAGATTTGCTGTGGCTCTGTCAAAAGAGAGAGAGAGAGAGAGAGAGAGTTACAGGTGAGGTTTGAAGATGGTTTACAGCAGACAGTTGTCACAGGTTATTTTTTATTGACTGATGTCTCCGATTTATATTGTCAATATAAATTTAAAATATCTGTTTAAAATCAGTAATGAGTAAAATTCACATTAGCCAATATAAGTCCTGTTTTAGGCAACTTAAAGCTATTCATGCAGTGAACCAGGTGAAGATGACGCCCAACACGTAGGCTAGGCCTATATGTTTCGTGGTTTTTATTATAAACACATCCAGATTCCATTTTCATTGCTCCCATTTCAAAGTGCAAGTCCCAAAAGCTGTGCTGTAGAAATATGTCTGTGTACATTGACAGATGCCCCAGCTGACCAATGACAGAGCAAAGTGACGCTTGGGGCGGAGCCACACTCTCCGGCGGAGGCTGGGTGTCGCCTGACCGGATGATGACAGAACTTTTAGGTTTAATGTGGCTACTTTTATCACATAACCGTCCAGTTGAAACCTCACCAGAGCTCTGACCGCAGTCGGGACTCTTAACTGCTTGGTGTTTTCATAAAATAAAGTCTTAGAGTCTGTGACAGACTGCTGTGCCATCTGGGAACTTTTGGTTTGCTGGAAGAGCCACCTTTTGGCTCTTATTTGACCGGGGAGAAGAGCAGAATAGAGCCCACTGGGCTGACCGAGGTGCCGCTATGGGTAACCGGGGAATGGAAGACCTCATTCCCCTCATCAACAAGCTCCAGGACGCCTTCAGCTCCATCGGCCAGACATGCAACTTGGACCTGCCGCAGATAGCGGTCGTCGGTGGCCAGAGCGCAGGGAAGAGCTCCGTGTTGGAGAATTTCGTCGGGAGGTTGTACCGTTTATATGTAGTTTTGGATTAATCTGTCATTGTGCATGTGGTTTATGACTGTAGTTTGTGCCTGTCGCTGTTCTTTTAAGACAAACTACGCCGAACTTTTGCGTAAACGTCGCCAACAAAGCACTTGGTTACGCGCTGTGTGTGTCAGTGCCTCCCAGTTCCTAACGTTTTTTTTCCGCCAGCGGATTCTTTCCATTTTGGAGCTGAGCCTATTCACGACCCAAATAACGCATTTTACGCAACAAATCAGCTGTAGAAAACCGGAGGGGGGCTCTTTAGTCGAGAGCTCCACATCCTTAATCCACAGTAAAAATGTAACTTCCTCAGCAGGAATATTAACACTGATCCGTGCTGTTACTGCTTCAGGCCCAGTCTGGTAAACATTTACAAAGGCTGTTTTTTTTCCTTGAGACTGCTTGCCTCAATGGTTGTAAACACAAATTTATAGGCCTCACACTACATAGGCCAGGTCAATGTTTTACTTTCAAGGTTGTTGGCGGGTTTGATGAGATCATCATCAGATAGACAGAATTATTGGAGAGACAGTATGAAAAATCAAAGTAGTCTGCTCTGCCAGCACGCCTGCTGCTGAATGTCTTTGTGAGGTTGATGAATGAGTTTGAAAGAATTTGAAGGAGCAGTTGTTTGACGGCAAATAGCAGCAAACCAACTGTGCCATCAGTGCCATTTGTTAGGGTCACTGCTCAGTTTACAACAACATAGAAAATACTGGCGTAAGAGGTTTTGTTTTGCAGTTAAAACACAGTTACACACGCCTTGGGAGTAAATCTTTTCATGAGGAAAAGGAAAGGGAAGAAGATACGGTTGTGTTGCCGCAGTAGAGGCCTCATCCGCTGAAGATATCCGCAGCAGCTTTGTGTTGTATCTCCAAGTGAAGGTGCCCAGAAAAGGTTCCTCTACACAGAATGATTCCACTTGTTGTCCAAGAGATAGGGAATGTTGATTAGGCCGCCATGTCTCCTTATTTTCCTGTTGCCTTTTGTCTCCGAGTCCCAAGCAGTGGCTCGGGGAGACAGTAGGGGCATTCATGTGTTTGTGCTGGGGTCATCAGTGATGTCACCAGCTGCACTGTCATGTGTATATGACACACTGGGTACCAGATACCCACAGAAGGGTACTCCACTGTTTTCATGTTAGTTAATTAGCCTAGTGACAGAGGTGTAAGACTGGATTATGAGATCAGTTTATTAAATTTTTACTTAATTGAAGCAGGTTTTAGTTTGTCAGGGCAGCAACTAACAGTTATTTAAATTCTTGATCAGTCAATTTATTGTTTTCCACTTAATCGGATAGACCAGTGGTCCTCAACCTGGGGGTACAGACTCATCATCATCTAAGGGGTCACAAGATGATTAAAAGATTGTTCTTCTTTGTTTTTAGATTTTTCTATATTTTCTTTTGTGTGTAAAATATTGGAAGGTTTTACATTTTCCGGCCTTTAATAATTTAACAAAACCTTTTTTGGGGGGGGGGAATAACTCTTTAGTGGTCAAATGCAAGCAGTGACAAGAAGTGGCAAGTAATCACTGTTCATTTTACATGGTCAAAAGCCAGGATGGTTGGGAATATGGTTGCAACAAATGATCATTTTCACTATTGAGTATTGATTAGATTATTATTTTGATTAACTGAGTCATTCTGTAGTGTATGAAAAGTAAAAACAACTGTGAAAAACGCTAGCTCTGAAAGCACAAGATGATGCCTTCAGATGACTTGTTTTGTCCGACCAACAGTCTGAAATGACAAGTGACAAGATGTTCAGCTTAAAATGATAGAAAACAAAGAAAAACACCAAATTCTCACATTCAAGAGGCTGAAACCCGAAAATGAAGACCAGAAAAAGATTTTAATGACTGAAACCGTAGATCATGACTCAAAATTGTTGCAGATGAATTTTTCATTCTTTTGGTCGTAGTTGGGAACCACTGAATGAGACTATAAAATGTAGACAAAAATAACAAGTAGACAACCTTGCAAGTTACCAGAGGCCAAACCAGCAAATGTTTGGGTTAGATTTAATTGATTAACTGTCTTGTTGGTGATCGTATTATTCATGTTGTACTTTCACAAGTGACAGGAAGAGATGAGGAAAGAGGATGGGAATCACTCTTGTGTAACATCCTGACTGCTCTGTCAGCAGTGGACAACAGGCACAGGGTGTGTGTGTCTTTTTCTGTGTGTGGCTATATGTGTGTGTGTACAGCCTGCTTACCTCACGCTGAAACCCAGTCTTTGCTGCTGACCTGGCAAAGAAAGACAGACAGACACAGACATATTCTGGTAGCCTGGAGAGATGTGTGGTCAGTGACCTGGACATGATCACAACTCTATTGAACAGCAGTTTCCATTCTGATGATGTGTGTACTGAGAGGAGGGGATAGAGACACGTTTCTTTCTCTCTGTACTATTTATAATGAATAAGGTTGTAAGTCAATCTTTGCCTGACATCAATAATGCAGACATGAACATGCACAGGCTCTAGGGATTCATTTTTCGAGCTTGTACTATTTTGGTCAAAGATGACACATATTTTGTATTTTGACATAGAATGCCTCCCATATATTTATTTACTGAGAAAAGTTTTACTGAAAACTGGATTAATGTTTTTGATTAGTCTTGTTCTACTTTTATTGATTTGACATATCGTGGTGACACATGCCAAATGGCAATTTGCCTGTCAATACCTTGTCCCTAAGTTGTGTGTTTGTGTGTTAATCTTTATCTGTTGTATCTCTCTCAGGGACTTTTTGCCCAGAGGATCCGGCATCGTCACCCGTCGTCCTCTCATCCTCCAACTGATCAACAGTAAAGCAGGCAAGTTGTATGCATCAGTGAAACAGTTTGGAAAGGGTTTGCACACTAAAAATCTTTTCAAGAAATAGAGTCAGGTGTGTGTAGCCAAAATTAACAGTCCTTTCTAATAAAAATGAACAAGAATCAGTAAAAAAGTAATAATAATTATTCGGAAGGTCGGCGGTTCAATCCCTGGCTCCCCCTGGTTGCGTGTCAAAGTGTCCTTGGGCAAGATACTGAACCCCGAATTGCCCCTGGCGGCTGTTCCGCCAGTGTATGAGTGAGTGTGAATGTTAGTTTCTGTTTGAGCACACTTAGGCTCAGTATGTGAATGCAGATGTAGACATTTTGCGCCTGGAGTGGAGATAACGCTATATATAAATGTTATCCCATTATTTTTTTAAATGTACTTTAAATCTGTATTATTGAAAGCTTATTACAACATGTTTTATGCAACTAATTTATCCTTTTTTAGTTCTTCCCCCTATCCCCTTTTCTTGTCATATTGTTTTAATGTTCATCTCCCTTCAATCCACATAGCCTTCTCTACTGTCTAAATCTCTCATTGTCTCCATGTAGAGTATGCAGAGTTCCTGCACTGTAAGGGACGTAAGTTTGTGGACTTTGATGAGGTCCGTCTGGAGATTGAAGCGGAGACTGACAGGCTCACTGGATCCAACAAGGGCATCTCCCCCATCCCGATCAACCTCCGTGTCTACTCCCCTAATGGTAACACACGCACACATGCACATACAAACTCAGCCTTCTAGCTTCACGTTTCCAACCTCTGTCTTCCTTTATGCTGACCTCTCTCAGTGCTAAACCTGACCCTGATCGACCTGCCGGGGATGACCAAAGTGCCCGTGGGAGACCAGCCACAGGACATCGAGCACCAGATCAGGGAGATGCTGATGCAGTTCATCACCAAGGACAGCTGTCTGATCCTGGCCGTCACCCCAGCCAACACTGACCTGGCCAACTCTGATGCCCTCAAGATTTCTAAGGAGGTGGACCCTCAGGGTAAGGGGACGTTGTGACAGTGAGGAAAGTTTGTGTTTAGGATCCTATTTATCTGTCTGTTCCATCCATTTCTATGGATACTTGTCTAAATGCAAACATTTGGAACAAGGTTATTACTCTTTGCTGTATCTTGCAGCCGTTATCAATCTTCTTCTTTCTATTAATCTTTGCCTCCCTGCAGGAGCCCGGCTCGTCAGAATAATTAACAGTTACACTATTAAAAGACCTCCTGGCAACATAGATTTTAGACATATCATTGAATTTAATCATCTCCGCCTTTCGCCTTGGTTGGGTCCAGACATTTGAATCCGCCTAATTCTGTCTGATATCAGGCAACCTGTCCTTCTTTCATTGAAGGCAAAATATGTTTTTAACCATTTAATAACAACATACTGTGTGTCTGTAGCATTGTCAAAATGTACAAAAATGAACCCACCCAAATATTAAGGATTAAGGTAGTGACTGAGGTTCAAAGCAGGGCTCAGCTGTAGATCATGATGTGAAATCCCCTTTCTGTAGTATCAAATAACTAATTAAAACCAAACTTGAAAATGAACACTTGAGCATAGATCAACTTGATAATGATTTATGACCTGTACTGCAGCCATCGATGTGGCTTCACTTTTGGGGGGCTGTCATGTATGCAGAAATTCAAGCAAATTATCCAGTCACACTTTATGAGCAGAAAGGGTAGGTCTACCCTAAATTTGCCTATATCCATAAATTGGTTTAAGTAAGTATTATTTACTCAATTGCTGGCATATAAACATTCTTGTTAGCCATGCTAGTGGCAGTTGGTCTTTCTCAGGATTAATTGTAATAACTTTGGTCATTCCTTAACTTTTTGTCTTGCCTTGTCATCTAGTCTAAATTTTAACCTGTCCAATACTTTTGTTTATGACCAAAAACGTGCAAAACTAATGACATTTCCATCAACCTCAGCTGTGTTTTTTTTTGTTTGTTTAGTGCTTATTAGCAAATGTTAGCATCATAATATGCTACTGTAAGATGTTGATCAAGATGCTATATAACATGGTTATCATTGTAAACATTGTACCTGCTTAACATTAGCATGTTAGCATTGCCATTGTGAGAATGTTAGCATGCTGATGTTAGCATTTAGCTCAATGCAGCACTGTGCCAAAGTGCAGCCTCATTATATATTTTAAGCAGTGTATGTAAGTTTTTAACAGATGCTACATGTTTTTGACACTACAAAAAGACTGCTAACACGTTGTTCCACTGTGGGCTATTAGAATGTAACTGGCTATATGTGAGTATTAGAACATAATCGTGACACCTTTGTCTTCAGGGCTGCGGACCATTGGTGTGATCACAAAGCTGGACTTGATGGACGAGGGGACGGATGCACGAGACATCCTGGAAAACAAACTACTGCCACTCCGCAGAGGTAAAACCACACACACACACACACACACACAGACACACAAAATGCAAAGCAGTCAGAGAGCATTAGGACTGTTGTGTTGGTTCTGCACATTGGATTGGAAATGAAAAAAATGTCTTTGACATTAAAGTGACACTAAGTTTTAATTTGACAGTGTAGGAATGGAAGCCCTTTAAATACCTAGTATTTGAATTTTACAAAGTAACAGGACAAGTTAACATTTGGGTACAAATATGCAGTCTGAAGTCTTCTCAGGTTGAAAAAATAAAAAAAATCTTGGTTGCTCCTCTGTATTTTTCTTTAGGGTACATCGGTGTGGTGAACCGCAGTCAAAAGGACATCGATGGGAAGAAAGACATCCGCGCTGCTTTGGCTGCTGAGAGGAAGTTCTTCCTGTCTCACCCGGCATACAGACACATTGCAGAGCGCATGGGCACACCACATCTGCAGAAGACGCTCAATCAGGTGAGATACACACACACACACACACACACACACGCACACAAACCTTCTATTTCTATAGTTGTGAGGATCCTAATTGTCATAAGGCGTTCACTAGACCCTAACCCTAACCTTATCCGTCACAACTAAAATGCTGATCCTAACCTTAATCTAAACCTAACTCTACACTAACTCTTAAAATAAAGTCTTTACCTTTAAACAGCCCTTTGACTTTACTTTCCAAAAATGTCCTCACTCGGTTGGTTAAAATCTTGTTCTGGTCCTCACTATGTAGGAAGTACAAGTACACACACACACATCCACACACACACACAATTTAAGTTTATTACATATTTTTAATGTAACGTTTAAGCTTAATTTTGTGACTGAATTCCAGAGCTATCAATATTTTCTCTGGTATGTTTTCATTTGTTTCTCAACATGATGTCTGTTAGTGGAGATTTGCTGCACTGAACTTAATTACATTAATTCATTAAATTAATTTTATTTCTCTCCAGCAACTTACCAACCACATTCGTGACACATTGCCAGGGTTACGCAGTAAGCTTCAAAGCCAGCTGTTATCACTGGAGAAGGAGGTGGAGGAGTACAAGAACTTCCGCCCTGACGACCCCACACGCAAGACCAAGGCTTTACTCCAGTAAGTAAGCACACACACACACACACACACGCAGAAACACAAATACACATTTGTTTAAGAAGTTAAGACATTTCCGTTACACAACCTGCAGGATGGTGCAGCAATTTGGCGTGGACTTTGAGAAGTGCATAGAAGGGTCTGGGGATCAGGTGGACACCTCTAACTTGTCTGGTGGAGCGAAGATCAACCGCATCTTTCATGAGCGCTTTCCCTTCGAGTTGGTGAAGGTGACAAGCGTTATGTCTAATTTCATCATGGATATAATCATTATGTTTTATAGATTTCAATGGTTACATTTCAGCCACAGTTTTTTATCATTGAATTTGGAAAGGAATGGCTCTCTTTTCTTTTCCAGAAAAGCCAGCTTTGTGAAAGAATTGTTTTTCTAAGGGTAAACAAGTGGCTCTGTGACTGTTTTGTATTTACAGCACTGATCTAGTAATCTATGTAGCAATCTTTATAAATACTGTCATACTGTTGCTTAAGCTCTCATAAATCGAATACCAAGAATGGGCACACAAACCCACAGACTCTTCCACTTGTTTGGCCTCATGTTTGTCTGTGTGTCAGTTTACGCTTGGCAATGGAAAGTAGCATTTATTTTCCATAGAACAAACACAGCCTAAGCTTTCTTTTTTTGCACTGTGTCTTAGATGGAGTTTGATGAGAAGGAGCTGAGGAAAGAGATCAGTTATGCCATCAAGAACATCCACGGAGTCAGGCAAGTTGAAACAGCCTGCAAAAGGCACATCACACGTAGCACACATGCCTTCACTGTTGTTGTTGTCACACTTGTGTGTGCTTACCTGTCTGCCAGCTTTTCCCCTGTTTGTCTGTTCAGTTTTATGAAAACCTTCAGTCTTCTCTCTCTTGAAGTGTCAGTGTCTCTCCTGTTTTTCAAATCTTCATTAAGTGTGCTGGCTCTTCTGTCTGTCTATGTTTTCTTTTATCTGTGTTTTTATCCCCGGGGCTTATGTTAGTCTTATGGTTTTCTGGTTTTCTTCTGCTATTCCTCTTTTGGTCTCAATGTCTGTCTGCTCATGTCTTCCTTCATCTGTGTGCCTGTCTCACACTCTTTCTGTGTCTATCTACCCTCCTCCCCCTGCTCCATGTCTGTCTTGTCTGTATGTCCTTCAGGACAGGCCTGTTCACCCCAGACCTGGCGTTTGAGGCCATAGTGAAAAAGCAGATCATTAAGCTGAAAGAGCCGTGTCTGAAATGCATCGACCTGGTGATCCAGGAGCTCATCAACACAGTCAGACAGTGCACTAATAAGGTATCACTGCATGGTCTCCTGCCCGGTAGCCTCACCGTACATACACACCGCAGAGACCATTCAATTTAAGAGCTGCCGGGGGCTGTTTTATAAAGCAGCCCTTTTAGTTTTTAGCTCTGTGCTTTTGGATATCATTTCAGTATCTCAGGCTGAAAATAAATTGGATGAATTCAAAGGAAGGGTTCAGTTCTTTCACCTGCTTTGAAGTTAACCTGCATGAACATAGGTGGGTGTATTTGAAAGTCCTGGCTGTACTGCAGTGCACTGGAGTATTATCTCTGAGAGGCTGTGTGGTCAGAAACAGACAGGTTGTTACATGTTCCAGTACAGGTTCATTACAAAACAAGCTGCAGGCTTGGTTTTAAGCTACAGCTCAAACAAGGCTAAGAGTCTACAGCCATGCTGGCGGCTCTGTGAAGTATAATGGTTACCATATTCACCCTCTTAGTTTAGTGTGTTAGCATGCTAACATTTGATCTAACTAGCATTAAACACAAAGTACAGAAGAGGCTGATGGGAATGATATTATTTTTGCAGATATTTGATCATAAACTATTTTATTGGCATCCTGATCAGATGGTGGCGCTAAAGGAAATATAAAGGATCATCAAAGTGATTAGGATTTATCATGTGGGAAACACAGCAAACCATCTAATGGTTGTCGACGTTGCCAAAGCTGTAGGCTGACTCTTAATATACACATGAAGAGGAATCTAAAATCAAAATGAACCTGCAGCTTGTTTCCTGTTCTGTACATGAAGTAGAACTAACTAAAAACCTGTTTTTTTTTCTTTGTCCTCAATCTTCTTCATTCTTTTCCTTTTCAACTTTATTTCCCCCCAAAACTATTCCATCCAACTTGTGCTTTCATTTTGACCCATGCTACACACCGCCTCCTCCTTCACCTGACATTAAACCTCCAACTCCCATGATGCTTCACTACAGGACAGGCCTGTTCACCCCAGACCTGGCATTTGAGGCCATAGTGAAAAAGCAGATCATTAAGCTGAAAGACCCATGTCTGAAATGTGTTGACCTGGTCGTCACCGAGCTTGTCACCCTGATCAGGAAGTGCACTGAAAAGGTAAACTTGAGCAACGGAGAGACAGATGTGATAAATACAGAGAGGGGACTGAAATGGGATTGTGTGAAGGTAAAACAGATGCAAACAAAAGGTGATAGAGAGATGAAGAAATTACAAAAATCTCAAAAATTACTAACTTGTCAGCGTCTAGTGTTGTTGATCATTACCCCTCACCGCTGCTTGAAAGCTTCCCTCAGCACACGTCCCACCCTCCTTAGCCTGTGGTTCCCTCTATAATGACAAATCTAAAAGAGCCCTTTCCAATTCTGATCCTGGACCCCTATCAGCCCACTTACTCCATCAGCACTGCTTTTGGTGATTTATATAACAACCCCACACCCTACCCCGCTTATCAAATCAAATCCCAACTCTAACACTAAGAAATGTGGCTGTTAAGGGAGATTTGTATGTATGTGTCCTGTGATACACCCTTTGACAACAATAATACAACCTATACAAGACCCCGCCAGACCATATCCTATCATCGTCTCTTTCTGGACTTTAACCTCATCTCTTTTCCTAATTCCTCCCTGATTTGTTGACACTCGTTATCAGCTTGAGAAAATTAATTAAAAAGTTTTAGTTCACTGTTTCTTTACACTTGTCACAGTTTAGTTGTTATCACAACATGACAAGACTCAACAACAAATGACAAGGAATCTCAAGCTGATATGGAAGTCATTGGTGCATGCCTCCTCAGTCTTTATGTGTCAAATGTCTTGCCTCATATTTGTGTTTGTGCTGTCAGCGGCTGGGTGTAGCTGCTCATGAGGAAACGCAGTGTTTACAGTGTTGTGTAAGTCTATATAGGTGTGTGTCCTGTAATCACAGTGCCTGCAGTAGTGTGTCTTCGTGTGTTTTCTCTGTCTGTGTCTAAAGCTGGGATCGTACCCTCGACTGAGAGAAGAGACCGAGAGAATCGTCACCACTTACGTCAGAGAGAGAGACAGCAAGACCAAAGACCAGGTGTGTGTGTGTGACACAGAGCGAGAAAGATGCATCCTACTTGTACATTTGTACAGTTTCACTTCTTTGTGGACGTAACATATTATGTTTTGCCACTCAGGTGCTGCTGTTGATTGACATTGAGCTATCCTACATCAACACTAACCATGAGGACTTCATTGGTTTTGCAAAGTAAGACATAAATTAAGATACTTATTGATGAGTTTCATTAGGATCAGAAATTACAGGTCTGTCTTTGATTAGTCGATTGACAAGCAAAGCTTTGTTGGTTTCATCTGATGTTTTTCTTTGTCATATATGAGCAAGTGAATATGTCAACTTGGGCTCTGGGACATTACAATGCTTTTTTTTTGATTCATTGCTTTGTTCACAAAATACTTAAGTATTATTTATAGACAAAGCAATGAATAAAAAACCCCAATTGTGATTCACTTCAGCCTCTTGTGGCCGAAATGAGTATTACAACAACAAACACTGGGGAAAGAAATTCAGCTGCCAAACATTTTTCCCTCTTTACAGTTGAATTTTTTTTAAGGAACTCCTGGCACATCTTTTTTTCCCCGCCTATTCTTAAGTTTAACATTCTTAAAACTATTTATTTTCGGACTTAATGGATCACCAGAAAAATCATACATATTCCTACATATTCCAATATTCCTACACCAATCATTGTTTAATAGTTTGTGCTCGTTAACCTACAAGTGATAAAGATATTCATATGTTCAAAATCACAACAAATTAGGACGTTTTTGCTTTCTTAATAGTAGAACGGAAGCTCAGGAATAGATGGACAGCAAAGTAACTGTCCACCATTATGAGAAAAGATCAATCTACCTAGTTTCCGTCTCTAATTTGTGTGGATGTGCTGCAGTTCTTCTTCATATGTGACAATGAATTGAATGTCTTTGGGATTTAGAATGCTGATCAGACAAATTAGATTACTGGAAGACCACCGTCATCTTGAACTTGTTATGGGCATTATCTAACCTTTTTCTAAAGTTTTATAGACCAAACTAAGAAAACAATGGGCAGAATACTAGACAGACACTGAGAATAATCATTAGCTGTGGCCCTAGAGTAGGAAATACCTTCATCCTTGCATCAGAATAGATTCTTTCTCAGTGCCCTGTTTTAAATATGTACTGTATCTTAGACCAGAGTTTATGTTATTGAATCTCTCTCCTGCAGTGCCCAGCAAAGGACTGCTGCTAATGCCACCAAGAAGAGAGTCATGCCCAATCAGGTAACTCACTCATTTAAGCAAATAAACTATGCATCCGATATAAAGCCTTCACACCACTGTCGCATCTTTCTCCTGTTGTTTTCTTATTTCTTGTTCCTTCTGTTTGTCTCAGCCCGTCTCTCCTGTCATTGTTCCCCTGTGTTGCTTCACATTTACATACTCTTGTCTGTGCCCCTCTTGTCTTTTCTCTTTATTTCCCTTTCCTCTTTCTCCTCTTCTCTTACTCCTTTTTTTATCGTCCAGGGAGAAATTCTTGTAAGTATCATACCCCCTGCACCTCCACTTGTCACTTCCTCTTTGGGTGGGTGGGGGAGTCAGCGGCCATTCAGACCATGTCGAGAAGATTTGTGCTCCTTGACGAAGAAGGGGGAAGTGAAAGAGTTACGCTCATGGATGTATCATGAGAACTGGATACCATGTACCAAGATGGCTGCCATTCTTGCTAAGTTTCTTACCCAGCAAATAGCAAATTCTGTATTGCACAGCCCACTGCACATACACATTAGCGAATCTTTCCATGTCCCATTGACTTTGCACAGGGATGATGGTACACAGACAATGAGACTTTTCTATGCTCTGGGAAAGTTTTACAAACATTAAGTCTTTATGGTTTAAAAATTAACAATACAAAGATTAATACTCATCTTTGTCTGCAGCTTGAGGTTAACTGTCAACAGTTTTACAGCTTGCTTCTAGACATTTTGGTGCCCTACTAGATCAGTACAACTTTACTATTATATACTTGGTATGGTATACTTATGGTATATATATTTTTTTATATCTTTCACTCATTAACTACCTAATGACTCGAGTGTCCCAGTTATGAGTTTTATCCTTGTTTTGATAACATGTGGGATATGAACATAAGTGACCTATCTGGTTATCCATGTGTCTGATTTGTATGCAGCGGTGTGCACAAATAAAATGTGTGGGTCACAAAATAAGAGACAGCCAGCAGTAACTCTATACTATATTCATGGTTACACCACCCAGTCTTGGGTGTCCGCTTAATATCCCTGTGTCTGTTCCCTTTGTCTTCTTGTCCGTCAGTCTGGCAGAGAGAGGGATGCAGAGAAGGTGACTTTTCATTGGTCATTATTTGCTTTTACTGTCTACAGGTTGATCTGACTGCACTGTGCTCTTTTCTTTTTAATGATGAATACTGTCACACTGGCATGACTTTTTTGTATTTTGATGGCAATTCTCTGCATGTGTCTATATTTTTGTCTTTCCTTTTTTTTTAGATGTTCTTTTTGCTTGCTGTTCATCCACATTGCCCCTCTTGTGGGGTGTGTGGTTTAGCCAACTGTTGGACTCTCGTTTGCAGGTGATCCGCAGAGGCTGGCTTACTATCAACATCAGTATCATGAAGGGAGGATCTAAGGACTACTGGTTTGTCCTGACTGCTGAGTCTCTCTCCTGGTACAAAGATGAGGAGGTAAGGCTGCTAACAGGACAGTAAATGCATGTAAATTTATAGTTTACTTGCACTTTCTCTATGGCATAGAGAGGAAGTGTGCTTATTTTTAAAGATGAAACTTCCAGCACCCGGTAAAGTAATTACTGAGTTACTACAATAACACTACATTAAAACTGTAAAGTGCAGTCTTACTTGTTTTTAAAGAAAACACTTGATGCTGCTCTGTTGATGGATTCTTATAGTTTTCCTTCTGTCATATTCATCATTACATTACTGGGTATTTTTATCAGGAGAAAGAGAAGAAGTACATGCTGCCTCTTGACAACCTGAAGCTAAGAGATGTGGAGAAGGGTTTCATGTCCAGCAAACATGTCTTTGCCATCTTCAATACTGAACAGAGGTGTGGACGCTATGATCTTCGTAAACAATCAAGTTTATGGTGTTCTATTTGTTGTAATCGTTGGTTAATGTGTGTGTGTGTGTGTGTGTGTGTGTGTGTGTGTGTGTGTGTGTGTGTGTGTGTGTGTGTGTGTGTGTGTGTGTGTGTGGCTTATAGGAATGTCTATAAAGACCTACGTCAGATTGAGCTGGCATGTGACACTCAGGAGGATGTCGACAGCTGGAAGGCTTCGTTCCTCAGAGCTGGTGTTTACCCAGAGAAAGACCAGGTACACAAGAGTGCGTTCACATTTTAAAGGCTGTTGGCCGTTTACAAAGGATTCCCTGTATTTCTTTAAATGTGGCCTGGTGATATTTAAAGATACACAGCACACAGTAACATATGAGAATTTTGTTAGCTGTTTGCATGTATTTGGGTAAGATGCATTTGTGAACAAAGTTGTAAACTGTATTTTACTTTACAGTGTTATTGTTTCTGAGGTACAGTAGGTTTTACAGAGCTCCAAAGCTCTTTTTATGCCTCTGCACAATAGCCGTGGTATTATGTTTTCAGGTTATTCATCCATCCGTATGTCCGTCCCATTCTTATGAACGCGATATATCCGGGATCTAATAGGACTGTGTGGGTGTGGTTTGATCGGATTTAATTGATAGTGGCAAAACAAACAACTCTCATCAATTTCTGATTGTTGTATATTCAACCTGATTGGTGCTCAGAAGTAAATGACATTTTTCCAACAGAGCCCCGTCCACTTCTAAACAGTATCAAGCGCACAGACACAGACTTTTTCCCTTGTGATATAACCAAAACTGGTCTAACTTTGATTCCCATCACTCAGAATAACAATCGGAGGGAGAAAATACATTTTCAGCTTCAACGGATCACACGAACAAAACATGAATTCACGTCTGCACTGCATCCCTCACATCTCCTTCTCTGTCTCTGTCTCTGTCTGTCCAGCCTGAGAGCGAAGATGCCATGAACCCCAGCGACACCGTGTCCATGGACCCGCAGCTGGAACGGCAGGTGGAGACCATTCGCAACCTTGTGGACTCATATATCAGCATCGTCAACAAGTCCATCAGAGACCTCATGCCCAAGACCATCATGCACCTCATGATCAACAGTGTAAGTCTTGTGTTTCTTTTTCCATTAGATCATCAACCTCTAGATCTAGAGAAATATGGTAAATGAAAAATAGGCTGGGCCACTCTCCCATATAGTCTTGACTGTATTAACCGTCCTTCCTCTACTGTTCCCACTCCCATCTCCAGGCGAAGGACTTCATCCACTCTGAGCTGCTGGCCTACCTGTACTCGGCCGGGGACCAGGGCAGTTTAATGGAGGAGTCAGCAGAGCAGGCTCAGAGGAGAGATGAGATGCTGAGGATGTATCACGCTCTGAAAGAGGCCCTGGTCCTCATAGGAGACATCAGCACCACCACGGTTTCTACTCCAGTGCCTCCTCCAGTAGACGACACCTGGATGGCCAAGGAGCCAAGGTAACAGATATAAATAAACACAAATATATTCTAAGTAACCAGAAATGTCAGTGCAGAAATGCCAAACTACCGTAGGTTCGAGGTCATTTAGAATCAGTGTCACCATTAGACAGTTTGTCCACCAGAGAGCACTGACAGGCTGATTTTTCCATTGTATAATTATGTGTGTGTATATATATATAGATAGGTAGGTAGATTGATGTGTGTATATAAGTATAAAATATGTTTAATGGGTTCTTACAGTGACTACCGTGACTTACCATGACTAATAATCCATAGTAGTCTTTTTCTTTAATTTTCATTCATTGTCTTGTCACTTTGGAAGTGTACTGAAGGTTCAAATGAATGAAATGTAACTCCTTACTCACTAGCATCCTCTCTTTCTGTCTCAGTCCTCCGCCGGCGTCCCGCACTGCCTCAGCAACAGCGCCCCCTCCCAGCCGACCCCCGGCAGTGAGGGGGCCTACCCCAGGTCCTCCACCCCCTCTCAACCCCTCACCAGCATTTGGAGCCCCGCCGGTGCCGTCTCGACCCGGCCCCAGCCAAACGGCCTTTGCAGGCGATCCCAACTCTAGTGTTGTGCCTCTTGTGCCTTCCAGGCCGGCCCGCGTGCCTCCAGCACTGCCGCCCGGCATTCCAAGGTAAAATCATGCACAGTCACACACACACACACACACACACACAACATGATGCCTTTTCTGGTTTTGGTATTGAGGGAAGTTGCTGGGACAACCTAGACTGCTGGTGACGGGTCGTACTATATGTTCTGGCTTTTGGTGGATTGGGAATTGGTGCATGACTTTCTGATCATATTTTTCCTTGCATGTTTCTTTTCTCCCTCCCCCAACACCTCCCCCCTCTCTCTTCCTGCAGCAGAAGACCCCCGGCTGCTCCCAACCGGCCCACTGTCATACGTCCTTCAGAGCCCTCCCTGCTTGACTAGAAACACACACACACACACACACACAAAAAAAAAAAAAAAAAAAATTATATATATATATATATATATACACACACCTTTGCCTTTGTTTACACTTTTCTCTTGAGCAGAGATAGTCATTCATTTTTTCATATATATTCCTTTAACTTTCATGTATGAAATGACCTTTAACTACAAACTTTGTCCTCCTATAAGTGGTAATCTGATGCTGTTTCAGTCTGTGCATTTCAGAAGCATTATGTATTTAATTTTGACTTTATGTGTAGGTAGCTTTTTTTAACAGTTTATGATAACATTTTCTGCATTGTATTATGAAAAGGGATACATTTCATGATTTTATTGACTTAAAGATTATGAACCAGCAGGTCATCTTGAATTTTACTTGTTTCATTTGAAATGAAATGTTTCTTAAAACAATTTATGAGTCATTACTTTTATATAATGATAAGAAAAGACTTTCTAGAAGCCTTTTTTCTGTGAGCTGTATACTTGCTAACATTTTGTCAGAATTCTTATACACTAAGCACCTCATTAAGTAAGCAGCACCTTTTGATTAAGTCTCTGAGTCTCTTCATTGTTGATAGATTTTTTTTTAGTCAGCCTTCAAATGAACATCATAAATTTAGACTGATCAATGGATATTTTTGCTTCAATATTTTGGCTTACTTTATTTCAAGGTTTTTCAAGTATAGCAAAGTTGAGAGAAGAGCGACCTTGAGTCTGACAGTTACCTCCCACCACTGCTCATTCTTGGTGAAATTTGTACCTTGAGCAGAAACAAAATTGTAATTACTTATTATCACCTGAAAAAGCCATAATGAAAAAAAGTATAATGTACAAAAAAGGGCCTTTCTTTCAGAAGGTTCATAAAGTAATGGACTGAATAAAAGCATAGAAAAAGAAGGTTTGGTGGCTGGTCCTTATTCCCCCTGTCCTTTCTTTCTTGTGTACCTGAAAAGGATTAAGTCCGGGCTAGGCCGGCTAAAGACCCAAAACACGTCTTCACCACTTTAAGAATCTTCAAAATAGTCCGAAAAATTCACTGGAGACAGTCAAAAATCGATGCAAAAGAGCTTTTATTTCATTACAAGACAAAAACCCAAACTTTGTAAAATCTCCCCCCACATAGGCGGAATTTCTACGTGATCTCTATGCTCGCTGACTCCACCCTTTCTTGCACACTATGATGATGAATTTCTTATCCCCTATTGCCATCTAGTGGCCTCTTTGTGTACTAATTTAAATAGTGTTCCCCTGAATGTGAAGCATAGGAATTTCCTCTGCCTGGGAATGACGGGGAAATGAAAAAGTCCATAGGTTAATGGATGTGGACCAATCACCAGGGTGCACACAGTCCAGCACGTGCTTCATTGTGATCATGTGAAACAGTCTCCTCATATGAACTTTGTTTAAGAGGATTATGAAAAAAAAAAATTGAAAAATATTTGTGTTCAGTGAGGATCAAACATGCAACCATAAGACTATGAGTCTTGCACTTCACCAACTGAGCTAACCAATGACACTATTAGCCTCACCGAATTTACCTTTAAGAAACGTTCCTGCTTTTTAATATATTTCACAAACCTATATTTCTCTTAACAGAATCTTACGGGTTTTCCAAAGTAGCTCTTAGAAGTGTTGTTTTTGGCGTAAAATGGTCAACATTTCTTGCAGGTGGAGGAAATTTTGGAAAAGAAGGGCCATTATCTCTCCCGGTTGGCTCCTTTGAACTACTATTCTTGGAATGTAATGCTCATTATCTCTCTTTCTTATCGGTGATGTTTACTTCCTAGGTTATACTCCCTCTTTGTCCATTACAGATAATTGATAATGGCCCTGTACTTCCCCTGCTAAGTCTGTCAGTATGCTAGGCATGCCCACAGATAATATCATCCTCCAGACTCGCACCAGGATCTTTATCTCTGTTAGGCTTTTGATCCTGGATCTTTGATGTTTAGAGTGCAAACAGCTTTTGGTTAAAGGAGAAACACTATATAGAGTGAATGATTTGACTTTTGGAACACACTTTTAAAATGTAAAATATATATATATATAAGATATAATACTTGCAACAGTATAATGATAACAAAAACATACAACAGTAATAACAAAAATACACAACCGAGCTTTTCTTTGGTTGTCTTTTTTTGACACATCTGTTGTTTGATCTGCCGTCTCCATACATAGACAGTAAACATGTCGTACATGTGCTTCCTGTCACTTTGAGCGTACAGCAAGTTTTACATAACAGAGCCAAGGTCAAGACCCTTTGACTTCCGTGATAGTCAAATGGAGTCAGCCGTGCAGTACAAGAATGTTTTACTTTTCTGCATGAAGCCGTGGGTTACCATGGTAACTGTGGTTGCAGATAGTTGTTGCTTTTGGGCTGTTCATAGAGCAGGCCAGGAATGAATAAAGGTATGCAATCCCACTCCTATCTGTTTTAGAGATGTTTCTTCTCCATTGTGTCTGTGTAACTGCTCCGTGTACAATCAGAAACTGACTTTCTTTTCATGGTCTTCTCACACAGGCGCCCTCCACATATCCCGTCTCGTCCCAACCAGTGGTGATGGAAACTCAGATTTTGACCACAAAAAAGTTGCTGTTTTCCATGATGTTTCCTGTGGGTAATTCTGAAACTGTTGACGCTTTGTTTTTATTAGATGTTTAAGGAAGAGAAAGATGCAAAAATATTTGGTGACATGAGGTTGTGGCTGGACCAAAGCTGACATCCTGTGTTTGTTGGATTGCTTTGCTCCACAATTAAAAAATGATCTTACTGCAACTAAATGAAATAATACAAAAATACTGATGACCTTTGTACATACAAGTATGTCATTAAGCTTATACAGTATTTCTAGTATTTAATATATACTGTAGATCAGTGATCATGTTTTTTCTTTGCTTGGAAATGATACTGAAGTACTTTTCTCTCTCTCAATGTCTGCCAAATTAGTAAATGTAAGAAAAATCTGTGCCAAACTAAAACACCAACAGCAAGTCAACAAGTCCACACATGCATTACAGTATATTGTAATGTCCTCCTTTAAGACTGAAGAATAAAGTAATTTACAGTCCTGCTACATCTCTTTTCTTACATTGCTAGATGTATATTGTGCATAACATAAACTGTGTACACCATGAACTGTAAATGTAAATTTAACTCATAAATTCTTCTCTCTCAACCACATGTCACTTTCCACTGCATGATAAAGCACACATGCTGCAATGTAGTACTTTAGCAATTCCAGCAAATTCAATGTTTCTCATAATACACTTATCAATAGTTAATCATTCCAATTCCTAACCTTTATACCAGCTTAAACATAATGTTTTTGTAAACACAACACGGAGCCTGATTCGACTGTCAATCTCACAGTCGAAGCTTCGCAGCGAAACAGGATCACGCCATTTTGGCGATATGGGGGTGCTCAACGTCTGATTTTTCATTCAACTACCAGTTTTCTCCCAATAAGTCAATATACAGCCTATTACAATATAAATTTCAACGTTTAATGCTGTAAATAAACATGTTAAAAGAAAAAAAAACTTTCAATAAATGTTTTTAAAGTGCGTGAATAAATCCAAAATTGTAATCCAATCCTGGCTCGTCAGTGCGCATGTGTAGGCGTAGCGTGTATGTGTGTAGTGGCAGAAGAGAAAAGCCCAATCCTAATGTCCCCCCTGAACCCTAAGCTTTTTTTTTTCATCTTTATTGCAAAAAGGGGGTTACAATTTAGTTATATATTATATATATATATATATATATATATATATATATATATATATATATATATATATAAAAAATATAATATATATATAAAACACAGACACAATTATGTAAAGCTTTGCCAAGGGAAGCCTACAGGCTATTACAAGGAGAAAGAGGACCATATGTTGACAGTTTTAACCGCCTTTTTGTTGTTGGAACCAGAAATCAAATTAATATAAAGCAAAACTTCATGGATAAAAAGTACAAAATTAGGTTTTTCAGCGCTGAATTTACATTTATGAATGTATTTAATTTAGCCAACAGAATTAATAAATTTATAATGAAGTACAACTTTTCTTTACTTTGATTTCTATAAAAGCAAAACACAACATTCTTCCACAATAAGGCAAAGTCTTTATAGATATGGTCAATGATAAATCTGCTGAGGTTTTGCCAAAATTTTCTGGTTTCACCCTAAACCCTAAGCCCTGAACCCTCAAAGACTTTACTGACGTCACTTGGAAAGTGATTGAGTGCAAGAGGCTGTGAGGGCTCAAAATGCTGTAAACAGGAACGGGACAGCCCTTTGCCACTTTATCAAGTTACCTTGACGACCTTGAAACACGTTGCACACTTTTTATTTGATGTTTTTGCCTTATTTTCAAGTCCTGCAGGCTCACGCCCTACAGAGTGGAGGAGAGGTAGCCTAAATGTCAATATATATTTGTAATTAATCAATACACTATTGTTGGTCAAATAGCATCATTAAGCAAAAACTAAAATAAATAGTTGAATAAACTAAGTATGTCATAAGGTTATTGCATTCCTCTGACTTAATGTGTTCTATGCAGGATCTTAAGTTAAGAAAGCTTTCAACCATTTTGACATCAGCGTTGGTGTCGATGCTTGTTTACTGTTTTCTTCTCTTAATAAATGGATTTGCTGTGATATTTCTCTCGCTTCCGGGCTTCCCATGGTAACCCCATACAGTATATGGGTAAACCCCATGTTTTACGTCATACCGCTATGAACTGTGAGCAATTCCCTCAGTCAAAGTCTGCAGAAATGCGGACTTACGAAAGGGTTCTATAAAGGGCTCAAAATGTCCACGAGAGTGCCCTCACGCACTTGACGATTTGACAGTGGGACAGCCCAAAGCCCTCACAGACGTCCCAGGAACACGCCTCAAAGTCTGTGAGTCTGTGAGGGGGGACATTGGGATTGGGCCAAACACTTGCTGAAGAGAGGAGCTCCTGCTTCACCGGTGTTGTGCTGAGTTGTCCGCACCTCGCGGGATTTTCGGATAATTTATCACTGTTGATGAACCACACAAAGAATATATTGGTTTTAAACAGCCGGTTACTTGAAATAGACCCGCAACGTACATGCTGTTGTCGGTAGCACGGCACGCATGCAAAACTCTGCACAAGACCAGTGAATGGCAGGCCAGATAGAGAGAGAGAAAGGGGTCAACAATACTAGGCGGGACTTGACAATTCTGATTCGACTATGTAAATCCTTAGTCGAGGACAGCCCTAGTGTCTATACAAGTTGGTCCGACTCCTGATTGGTTCAAGTACTGCAAGCAGGGTTATGTAAAATAATCTAAAAGATACAAATAACGGATAATAATATGTAGGTCTTCACAGAACCCTTTTAAAGAAATTATTCATTTGTCAGCTGTCTGTGTTACCATGTTTTATTCTACAAGTACAACACATCAAACCAAGCACTTAATGTGTAAAAAATGCATTTATTAATAACAATGATGCCCATGAAAACCTGATTTTTACTTATTCTTTAGAACACATAATGAAAGTCTGTTCTTAGTAAAAAAAACAACTCAATAGCTGTCTGAGCAGAATCAAAATGTCACAATGTGTAGACAAAAACATACATTTGTTTGAAATTTGATCATCTAGAAATCAGAATAGAAGCCAGAAACATACAAACACACATCTAACAATCAGTGTGTTCACTGAATTATCCCAATATATATCTGAACGTACACACTAAATATTTGTCTGAGTACTGACACATTTACATTATTGGCAATCGCACTGTAAATCATCCCATCTTATTCTACATTCTTATTTGTCGACAGGTCAGCATGGGCTTGAACTGGCATGTGAAAAGAAATCAGTAACATCTCAAAAAAAAAGCTAACCATCAACAAGGCCGTAACCAAGGAAAATACCCAGTCACATGGACAAATCACTAATGCCAGGGAAATATCCTAAACTTTCAGGTAGAACAAATACGCCAACAGCACTATTGCACATTGTTATCCCTTGTAAGGCAAACCAGTAGTTCTGTTTTTGAGCTGTGTCATATAATCAACCTTTAACCTTTGATAAGAATCATTTTACCTTTAACAAAAAAATCCCCAAAACCTCTCACTTGTTTCAGAAGTGTAGGACGGCAATATACTACAACATTTCCTGCTCTGTCTATGTAGGCAGTCCCTTTGAAAATGGATTTCCTCATCGGTTTGTGGTAAGATTTGACATAAAAGGCACTAAATGAAATGAAACCCCAACTTCCTCTACGTCTTCCTCATCTGGTTACCCTTGATGTTTTAATGATTAATTATTGCTCACAAACCTATCAAAAAACAACAACTAAAATTGATGTTGAATGCTGGTGTTCATGTATACAAAATGAAAAACAATGGAGCATAATCTGAATGGGTAACATCTTGTGTCACGTTGTTCTCCTTCCCAGACTTTTATCACTGCAAAATAAACCCTCTATGTGCAGACCCTCCGCTTATCGTCAAACAGTTTACGGACTGTGTAGACCTGGGAATGGAGAAATAAACACAGACAGCATGATGTGTCAAACTGTGTAACAGGTAAAAACAGGAAGTAATTCCTCTGTCCTTATTTGAGCTCGTAAACCCCCAGAAATGTGATGACCCCAGTGCTCCATTTACCTGGGTAAGGGCCACACACAGCATCACCAGCACACTGGCACAGGACCAGAATGAGACCCTCCACAGGTTGTCTTCCAGGAGGTTTCGGTCCCGTGCCTCAAAAGCACGCAACACCGTCTGCATCTGCCGGCTGCGTTCCAAGCGCCTGTGCAGAGAGTCCATGGACTCCTGAGGAAAATGTGAGGAAAGCTTTAGGGAATTTAAAAAATGATGGCTGCAATGACAAAGAAGCGGGAGTGAGAAGCAGAGTCAATAAAGTGGAAACGATGGTCTCAAAAGTACAGTTTTAAATAAATGTTAACACAACAAACCTGTTACAACTATCTCTCCTTTTCTTCTTGCCTGGATGTTTTTATAGACATTGGTTGAGTATATCTAACAACATGGGTTTATTAAGGAGGTCAGCTGCATAGAATTAACTTCTACACCCCAAAACAGGCATCTCACCCGGATGTCCTCCAGCTTGTACTCCAGAAGGCTTCCATCGGGCTCCTCTAATCCTGCCCACTCCTCATCTCCACCCACATCTCCTCCTTGACCGTCGATGATGATCTCAAAGAACACGATCTTCTCTGAGAAGCGACTGAAGCTGTTGTCAAAGCACATTTGATAGTCTCCCTCATGCGTAGGCTCCAACCTGGAACAACAGGAAATATAAGTGAACGATAAGACAGACAGAACCAACAACGCTCAGTAATATGATCAAGGATTCAGGCCAGTGTGGGGTAGCACTAACACGTGTACTCCGTCTGAGCGCCGAGACTCCATGATAAGCAGGATGCCTTCTGGAGAGAGGATGGTGAAGTCTACATCCATACCGGCCCCAGCAATCACCTGGATGTGCACACACAAATAATAGATATCACACACAAACACACACACAGAGCAACAAGCAACATGCTCACAAATGATATTGTCAATTAAACCATTTTCTGCAACCATTTAGTGAGGATTATTTTTGACAGACAGGAAATCCTGTATGTGGAGAGGGGGGCTCTCAGCCGGGATGGTACCATCTCCCTGCACTTATATGATCATGCATCTTGCAACAGGCCACCAAGCCACAAATTTTCAAGAGACATTATGTGTGCCTTTCGAGGGAGAGTATGTTGTCATCTACTAGGGACTCTCCCACTAAACAAACACACTGCTGACTAGTAGACCTTTATGAGACCTGTTCATGTGTAAATAACTGTTTTACATTTATATGATGTTACACAGTACAGTAGTAGAGCTGAAACATGCAGCTGACCAATGAATCGGCAACGATTTTGATAATTGTCAAATTATCACAAAAATTCACACTCATTCCAGCATCTCTACTGTACCTCTGTAATATTAAATTGAATATCATTGAGATATGGATCCTTTGTTTAAACAAAACAAACAAGACATCGCGTTCAGCTTGTTTTTCCATCATTCTCTGGCATTTCACGGACCAAATGATTAATGGAGAAAATATCCAGCAGATAATGATGAATGGATAATGAAAATAATTGTTAGTTGTAGCACTAGACTGGAGATTTCACCGGGCACTCAGAGCTCCTGTGGCAGCTGTGTGTTGAATTAACACTGATGAGTGGGCATCCTGTAAGAGAACTGACTGATTCTGCTCTCTACCATTTACACAGTGACTCATTAATAAGACCTACTACACTCAATTTGTGATGTGTTATCTCATTTCCTGTATTTTTATATTGCTGATCTTTTGATCAGTGAAGTGAAAGACTTGCATCAATCTCTGTGGGGAAGCACTGCTTGTATTGTAATCTTGCACACAAAGTACCAGATATAATAGTTTGACTTGACGATGGGCCGTTTTACCACAGTTTCAGGAAGCTGTGAGCCCACAGTACGTGGTTATTAGACTGGTTAACTCCCACGATATGAAGTGAGTGGAGGAACGTGAGCTGTCATTAGCTTCCTGTAAAGCTGCAGTTTAATGCTGGAATATACAAATATGCATAGAGTATGCTAGCTTACGGTATAGTGGTTAATAAGTTGACTGTTAGCCATCAACATGGTGTTCCTGTATCGCTGCCTGTAACAGATAGCATGTAAATGTTAACACACTGCGTGATTATGTCTGCGGACCACAAACACAGTTACCTGATATTCGACCTCCATCGTACCATTCTTTACTGCTGTCTGAAAGAAACACTCGGATCTTCCGGCTGGTAGCATAAATGTGAACTCGCTGTCGAGGCTCTGCCCGAAACAGCTCACAGACCCGAAACACCACCCAAACACTAGTGCAAGGACAAACAGTCGTCCTCTGCTCCCGTCTTTCCTCAGGAGAAGGTCCATGGTGAAGATATTCCCAAACACAAGGCTATCTAAGTTCAGCCATCTCCTTCGCATCCCTCTTCCGCAGCAGAACTTTGCGACGTTGTGATTGGATGGAGTCCTCCGAACGAGGGCAAAGCAGCGGACCAATCTGAAGTGGAAGAGTAGCAGTCCTCCTCCAATCACCGGAGGGCTGAGGTTTTCACTCATAACCATCCCAGCTGGTACAGAGAGGCCACTGTGTGACCTGCTGCTACTGTGTAGGCCTATGGCAAGCCGTTTTAACACGTATTCCTTAAAACTTAGTGGTAGCAATATAAAGGCTACTTGTACTTATTTATTAGGTACTAATAACTATTCCTGCTCTACTACAAACAATTGATTAGATCATAGTAGGCTACTTGCAGGGCCGGCCCTGGCAATGTTGGCGCCCTAGGTGAGATTTAAAATTGGTGCCCCCCCCCCCATGCCCAACCCTAAAAAGTGCACCTCAGGGGTTGGGGCCATCGCTCCCCTATCCTCAAGAATTATTTTAAACGTTCAGCGGCCAAATTAGCATGCATAGGTGAAAAGCCAAATCATGGTCAACCTCAACACAGAGACTGTTTACTTGCGGTATGTCTTAGATTCCTAGAAATGCAAAAGCACTGGTTTAGTTTCAATAGTGGAGATGACTCAAATGAAGAGGAGGGTCTGGGGGTCTTCCCTCAGAAAATTTAAAGCATTGGGGACTTCATTTCCTGCATTCTGGTGAAAATGTCTGCCTTTTCTGCCTCAATTTATGGTGTAAAATTCTTCATTTATGTAAAGGGGAATAAAAATTCAGGCAGCAGATGACAATTCAAAATATAAAAAATGTATAGAATATAATGCAGTAAGGCTTTCAGACATACTGTAGCTATTGTTTTTAAATAGCCTATATTTCTCCTGTAGATCAACTTTTCTAATTTAATAAAATCCCTGCTGAGTCAGCACACCTGCAGGCATGATTCAGTCTTCCCTCCTCTTTTGTGTCTTTTGCATGGGGATTTGCATGTGGCACCTTTTCACCTCAAATAACTTATAGTTATAAATTCCTGGACTTATAAAATAAATAAATCCTGTGTTTCAGCAGGTTTTCTGCTCATGTTCAAAACTTTCTGCACATTCAGAATCTCTCCCACATCTGTGTTCTCTGACATGTCGAAAAAACAGAGCAGGCTATTATTAATAAGAGACTAACGTCATCATTTGATGAGAATTCCTAACATCTTTTAATTCTACTTGCCCTATACTCCATATATATATATACATATATCCACAACTGTCTGAACTCATAGCGCGAGCCGCAAGGTGCACTTAATTGCTATCACGGCGTACGCCGGTGTCACAGCAGCTGGGCTGAGATGATTTGTGCCAGTCGAAAACCTTCTCTTGCGGCGTCCCCTGACATTTTGCACCCTAGGCAAGGAGATCTTGTAACAAGAAAGAACAAAATACAATAAAAGCTGAATCGTTATGTAAAATATATAGACACTTTCTACAATCAAAATAGGATCTGCCAGCGGAGATGGGAGATGTTTAGTGCTATAGCGTTGTGGAGTCTGATGGCAGATGGCACAAATGACATTTACATTTACTTATTTAGCTGACAGTTTTATCCAAAGCGACTTACAATTGATAAATCCACTCAACGGCACTTTATTAGGTACGCCTGTTCTATTGCTTGTTAGGACAAGTAGCTAATCAGCCAATCACATGGCAGCAACTTTAGCAGGCAATAGGGCCAAGGCCCAGGGAGGGAATAAACAGGTGAGACACATCAGGCATGTAGACATGGTCAAGACAACTTGCTGTTCAAACAAGGCATCTGAATGGGGAAGACAGGGGATTTAAGTGACTCTGAACGTGGCATGGTTGTTGGTGCCAGATGGATTGTCTGAGTATTTCAGAAGCTGCTGATCCACTGGGATTTTCACGCACGACCATCTCCAGGGTTTACAGAGAGTGGTCCGAAAAAGAGAAAATATCCAGTGAGCGGCAGTTGTTTGGACGAAAATGCCTTGTTGATGTCAGGGGTCAGAGAAGAATGGGCAGACACGAGATGACAGAAAGGCAACAGTAACTCAAATAACCACTTGCTACAACCAAGGTTTGCAGCATACCATCTCTGAACGCACCACACGTCGAAACCTTGAAGCAGATGGGCTACAGCAGCAGAAGACCACACCGGGTGCCACTTCTGTCAGCTAAGAACAGGAACAATTTACACACAGAAGTACAGATAGTAAAGGTAATATTGGTACAGAATTAATGAATAATGGTACAGATATTTATAGTAATGTTAATGATAATAATGATAATCGTAATGGTAGTGATAATAATAACACTGATGATAACAACAATAGGAGTAGTAGTAACAATTGTAGCGGAGGGTGTCAAGCAGGATCATGGAGGCAGTGACCCGCAACCACAGATCCAACTCCACAGCTCCAGAGACAGAAACACCTGCAGAAAGTGACAGGAGGAGAGAGGAGAGGGACGAGAAAGCACAAGACTACGGGAAAGGGAAGAAGTCAAGTATTGATGCATCCTGCCTTATCAACAGTTCAGGCTGGTGGTGGTGTAAGCATGTGGGGGATATTGTCTTGGCACACTTTGGGCCTCTTAGTACCAAATGAGCATCGACAACCTACCTGAGTATTGTTGCTGACCATGTCCATCCCTTTGACCACAGTGTACCCATCTTCTGATGTCTACTTCCAGCAGGAAAATGCACCACGCCACAAAGCTCAAATCATCTCAAACTGGTTTCTTGAACATGACAGTGAGTTCACTGTACTCCAATGGCCTCCACAGTCACCACATCTCAATCCAATAGAGCACCTTTGGGATGTGGTATCTATAATTTAACAAAAAGTACACAACTCATTGTGGAAGTCCAGAAATTACATGCAAATCCAACTTTTCCCAGGGAAGCAAAACAGGATTGAGGAGGAGATGAAAATAAATCCATGGGAACACATGACAGGACAATGATCTAGCAAAGACAGAACAGCAGGCAATAGGGCCAAGGCCCAGGGAGGGAATAAACAGGTGAGACACATCAGGTGATCAAAACAGGGAAGACACAGACTGGTACCCTGGTACTAATTTGGATTCCCCCGTTTGAAAAGAGAGTAAACCATATGCTTGTGTTTAAACATGTATTTAGGCTACACAGACACTCCACTCACTTAATGAGGCTGGCGATGAGTTAAAATAAATAGCCTGTGACTTGTGGTAAATGACAATAAAATATTGTTATTTTTCCATAATGTGCTAAGCAATTGACACTAACACTAAACATTGTCAATATTTGCCAATATATTTGCCACTAATGCCCAAGAGACACTCATCAGGCCTTGGTCAAAGCCGTTTTTTGACTTGTTTTAAGTAAGTAAGTTTTACTGTGTGTGTGTGTGTGTGTGTGTGTGTGTGTGTGTGTGTGTGTGTGTGTGTGTGTGTGTGTGTGTGTGTGTGTGTGTTATGTAGTGTAGTGCCAACATATGGAGTCTGTCATAACAAACTGTCCACTCCTACAACAAAGAAAAAAACCCAGAATTGAATTTCACACTAAATTAAGTGCAGTGACATAAACACTTTATCATCATTCACTACATTTGACACAGCATTTAAACTGCTGCGAAAGAGAAGAAAACATGCTATACCCATATTCACATACAGCATATATGAAAAAGAGTTTTGATAAAGAGAAGAAAATCAAAGTATTTCTCAGAGTAGAGAAAGAACAAAAAGAGAAAAGAAAGAGAAATTTATAACCCAGATTGCCTACATTTCTGTACTTACATACACATATGTAAAGTGGAAATTACATTGGTACATTGGTGGTGTTGGTGGGAAGCAAGTATAAAAAGTGGGTAAAAACACTGCACTAAATGTACATAACAACAGAAAACAAGTATTGATAAATCACCCCTAATTAAAAAGGAAAAGAACAAGAATGCTTAAAGTGAAGCAACTCTTGAACAGTGACCGTAAACATGGGAGGAAAGAAGAAACGTTGCCACAGCTACGCTTCGCAATCCTACCATCCTTTGCAAAGCATTAGTCATCTTCAATCACTGCAAGGTTGTTCAGCAGAAATTAGAAAATTACCTCCTAAAACTCAAATAAAAGCTACATTGCTTCTGAAGCAAAGCACCTGAGGCGTTTGTATTGGCAAATGTGTAAGAAAGCGGTAGCCTCAGGGATGGGTGAGTGTATGGCGAAACATATTCATACCAAAAGGTGGGTGGGTGGTAGCTGCAGTGGGATATGGCGGTCAATGGTACGGGTGTACATTTAACAGCTTGAACACACTCCAGCCCAGCCTCCAAAGCCACCTCTACTGTCACAAATGATGTGTTTACTGCATAAATCAATAGGATTAAAACTGTCCCAAATGCACGGCTCAGATAGTCAATGCAATTGAGCAATTTTTCTCAGGAACTGGCAAAACAACAATTGCTGAAAACACTGAAAAAACAAACCGATGTCTCAGAATATGAGACACAGAGAGTGAGAAATTGAAAAGAGAGAGAAGGAAGTGTCAGCTGATGATAACTACAGTCAGTAGGGAGTGTCCCACACTCACATGCACACTACTCACTCTCTCTCTCTCTCTCTCTTAGTCTGTGTTTGCCTCTTCCCCATGTCATCTTCATTTCCTCCTTACACGAGCTTGCTCAAAAAGCAAAATTAGTGATAGTTGACAACAGGCGAGCAAACACGAGAGGTGAGGGAGGACACAGATCTGTACTCAACAGAGGATTTTCTATTCTCAGAAGGTGAGACATCTAGAGAAGTCATCATACACAGAGAATGTTATTAATGTTATTTTAATTTCTTAGAAATTGTTTCATAACATTTTTTTGCCATTCAATGTCCCAAAGGAGTTTCAGAGGAGTGTCTGAAAACTGCCCTGTGCTGCTGGATGGTTGACTGAGCTTTGGCGGAACATCTAGTGCACAGTTAAATCCAAGGTAGTCTCTTTCTGAATTACCTTGAACAAAATGTGACAATAGGATGTTTCTTACTCATTCATTGGACCTGTTGAAGCCATCTTTCCTTGTGCGCTTGCAG